TTAAGGAATAGAATAAGGGGATAGAATAAGGAGATATGTATAGTTTAGGGAGTTAGAATAAGTGGTTAGAATAAGGGGTTAGATTAAAAGCATAGAAATAAAGGGATAGAATAAGAGTTAGATTAAGGGATAGAATAAGGCGTTAGATTAAGGGGATAAATTAAGGGGATAGAAAAGGGAATAGATTAAGGGATAGAATAAGGAATAGATTAAGGAATAGAATAAGGGTTGGATTAAGGGATAGAATAAGGGGATATATATAGAATAAGGAATCAGAATAAGGGGTTAGAATAAGGGGTCGGATTAAACGGATAGAATAAGGGGATAGATTAAGGATTAGATTAAGGGGTAGAATAAGGGGTTAGATTAAAGGGATAGAATAAGGGGATAGAATAAAGGGTTAGATTAAAGGGATAGATTAAGGGGATAGATTAAGGGGACAGAATAAGCGGATATATATAGAATAAGGGGATAGATTAAGGTCATAGATTAAGAAGATAGAATAAGGGGTTAGAATAAGGGGTTAGATTAAGGTGATAGATTCAGGAGATATATATAGATTAAGGGATTAGAATAAGGAGTTAGATTAAGGGGATAGAATAAGGGGCTATATATAGATTAAGGAGTTAGAATAAGGGGTTAGATTAAGCGGATAGATATAGATTAAAGTGTTAGAATAAGGCGGCAGATATAGGTCAGTGAATCGTTTTGTAAGTAGCTGTGGAAAACCTATAGAAGATTTTCGAAGTCTCGGCAACCTCAACTGGGTTTCTGGGCCCTGAGGTTTTTTGATTGTGTTGAAGCGTTTCCGAGAGCTCGGAAACCCTTTCCCGGAAACCTATAAAGGGTTTCATATAGTGACAAACCCGGAAACCCTCTATAGGTTTCCAAGAGTACCTTTTTTTTTTAGAGTGTCAGTCACTAGGGCTTTTGTCGTACTTGTATACCGACAAAATCTTTTTCGTTTTTAGAATTAAATTTAAGAAATTATCCTTAAGAAGTAAACAATATACCTTTGATCAATGTAAAGTCCCTCTATAACTGTATTTACCAGAGAAATACTTTCTAATATAAGCAAAAGATATTCTTTTGAGAAGTTTCCCATCCAAGAGTAAAATATTTTTAAGTCGCATTTACTGCAATCTGAAGAAATATAGAAGAAATTTAACACTACATCCTATTAGATGTTGTGAAAGTAGAGTCGAATTCTAGGCGATCAGCAATCAAAAAGTTGGTGAGTTTAATTTTCGATTGAAATCAGTTGTACAATAACTTATTTCCGAATTGTAAATGCCACCGAGACTTTCATTCATTCATTTTTGACAGTACAGTATTAGCTACAAAACACACCACTATCTAGCACAACTAATAAGAGAAGTATAATACTTCGCTACGTTAGTAGAGATTAGTAGACGGCTACGCATAATTCTTAGTCAGCATTTTCTTCTATAAGATCCGCAATGGCCTCCTCTTTGGGAGTGATTTTATATTTGGATGCTAGTTTTCAAAATCGATATTTGATTTGATTGATTATCGCATATTCATGTTGGTGAAATAGTTTCTTTTCATTACTGCTATCTCGTCGGGATCATATTTGTTGTTGGACCAGCTCTGGCGTTAGCTTAGAGCGTGTTTGCTGTGAGTCAACCCACATGTCTTCAATGAATTTCTTCACCTTTTTGCTGATTGGATTTGTGTGCTTGCGTGTTCGAAGGGCCCATCCCACTGACGTCAACTGCTGGTAGTAGAAAGAATTGGACATGTCGGCAGATGATGCACCTTGTGTTTTGCGGATTGTATCGATGTCCTGATGATATCGAACATTTGTTGATCGTACAGTGTCAACCAGATGGTATCGAGCAATATCGTTTGTTGTTCTTGGGTTGGGTGGTGGGATTTGATGTAAATTAGCGGCTATATGTGTGTCGAGATCTTCGCCGGTTTCGAAAGTGCTTGTACATCCATCCACAGGGCACATGAGCAGCTGATGATGATTACGATTATTTCGCCTAAGTTTGAAAAAGAGAATAAAGAGATGTAGATGAAATAACAACACTCTTACTTCTTAGAAAGGATAGCGGAATCTTTTCCATTAATTGGATCTGTGAAGGAACTGATCACACGCATATTTGTTTCAAAATCAATCTTTTTGTAAGGTATTGAAAGTCCGTCACCAATGTTTGATGCCTTGAATACTTTCATGTGGTGTGGGTAATACTAAATTGAACGAATCGTCGACATTTTAGGCACATTTGTCTTGCGTAAATGATCTTTAGAAAGAATAAAATGAAGAATATATAGCTGATGTTTTTCTATTGAGCACTTATCTGCTTCTGGCATAATTTCGGCGACTGCAATTTTGGTATTTTCCACTCCACCTGCGTACTCCATACTTTCCTTGATGTCGTTGGCGTTGAGTAAATCATTTCCGCTAGAAGCCCATGATTGCATTCTAGCTTTATCCACTACACACACTCTGTCACATATGTCTTTACTCTTTTGAACTTCACTATAGTCACGAGTCATCAATTCAATGCCGATCTAAGGAAATAAAGCTTATGTTGTAATATTACAAACTGTAGAAGAAACTTACTCGGTCACAAATCAGTTTTTCAACTTCTGGCGTTGAGTGCGAAGAGAAATTACCAGCATTGTCTGTGCGCTTGCGTAACTGTTTAATGTGAGCATGATCTTCTTTAAATTGTTTCAGTATTATCTCACTTGCACTCAGAGAATCTAAATCTGTTTGTGCCGTATTTGCTAAAGCAAGTATGTAGGATTCGGTACAGAAAGATTGTGCGGAAGTGATACTTGAAGGTACAGCTTCTGTCCTTGAGTCTTTCCATACGAATGAACCAACCAGCACAGACTTTCTCTTTTTTCCAAAGTATGTGCTTTGTTTCTCTCGGTATTCTTGTGGTAAGATTTTTTGGCCCCAATCAAATGTACAGAATGCCTCGTCGCTCTTCATTTCCGATATGATCTTGTTATTTGCTGCATTTTGTTGAGCAGCGCGAAGATTATGACGAGACCATTCAATAATATGCTGTGCTACATTCTTGAAGTCATATTGAGTTTCGCGTTTAATCTCTTTATGACAAATTTTCTTAATCTTTTCGTCGATCTCATCGAGTGTCCGAATAACATTGAGACAATCCGGGCAATCAAAGCTGTGTAATGGAGTGCACTTGAAATGATGCTCAAAGGATTTTGCATCACTAAGGCCAAGCGTTGTGCAATGCGTAATACAATCAGAGTTACTGAAGCAATGACCACTATGTGCGGTTTTTGGATACTGCTCTGCCATAGCAATTTGCTTAAGTAAGCGTTTTCGATCACTTTGTGGAATAGACATTGCATTAACAATACCTGATGAGAACAAGAGTTTTCGAAGCATGGTTCATCTCGAATTTTAAACATACCTGATAGAGAGTGCCATGCTTTAATACCTTCAACGACGAAGTCGTCTAATCCAGCAACGATTCGTTGTTGTGCAGGTTTTGAGCAGTCAGAATATCGAAGAGTTTTCTATTGCAAAGACCTTCAAAGTCGGTTTCTGTACAATACTTTTGTACTCAGTTATAGCATGCGTTTTTTGCAACTGAAGTATATGTTTTGATAGTTCGACCTTCTCGCCAGAGTCCTTGCGCAAAGTTATAAGGCCATATGTACCTTTCAATGAAAAGCAAGCAATTGGTTCCATTTTGACGACAAGCATAGGAGTAGATTTTATCTGAGACAAGATTGTTGCTTTCAACGAGCCAACTGACAAAATGTTTGATTTTATGGGGATCGGCATGCTGTCGAATTTGCGGGTGGGATGAATCAAATCGAAAACACATCGACCTATGCTTTAACGAAAACACAAATCAATCTGCTAATCTCCACTTTTGCTTTTCAGGAACCGATTTTTTAGCCGAATTTGAAATTGAAAGCTAAATAAAAGAAGTATTTTAATTCAAAATTAATTTAGTAAATGCAGAATTATTTTCACCGACGCGTTTCGGTTTTATGTATTTCTAACGGGTGGCCCATAATAAATGATCCTCTCAGTATTTTGCATATTTCTCACTTATTATTCAGCTTAGAAAAAAAATTTTTTTATAGAAAGATTCATTGTCAAATTCTCTACAAAACGTAGATGTTTTTATTATTTTAAATAATTTCCATTATTTTGTGAGATACGATACAATCGATTGGTCCAAGAAGCACAACTTTCAAACACAATATTTTTTCGAATTTTTTAACCGCACGTTTTAGTTCTTGGATCATGATCGGCTTAAATATCACTTTATTCCAGTCGATGACCTTCACAAATTCATCTCAAATACAGTAATCCAATGGATTAAGATCGGGTCTATTTGGTGGCCAATGGTCTTCATCGATAAATGATGGAAAATTGGCTCAATCCTCATTTTTATTTCTCAACGTTTTTTGCAAGAGATTGAATTTTCTGATAATGAAAAGCGAAGATTTACAGAAACTGGTAACTCTGAAACATAAAAATGGTGATTATCCGATGAAGATTTTTCGTGATTTGAACGGAATACTTTGTTTGGAAACTATTAAAAGATGGCGCAGAATGATTGACGAAACTGATTCTATCAATTTAAGATCATCACCAGGTCGTCCACATACAGCTCGAACTAAAAGTACTATCAACAAGGCCAAAAAGAAGCTACAACAAAAAAAGGTATCAAATAGAAGACTTGCACTTGAACTAGATGTATCTCGAACAAGTGCTCAACGGATTCTTCGGAATGATCTTGGCTGTCGACCGTATAAATATTTGGTCGAACCAGCACTTACCGAAGAACACAAAGAAAAAAGAAAATGGTTTGCTAACTGGATAAGAACAAACTTTCGAAAGCAGGAAACATTGAAAATTCTGTTTTCTGACGAAAAGATGTTCGACATTGATGGAGTTTATAACACCCAAAATGACCGTATTTGGGCTGTAAATCGTGCTGAAGTCAATGAAAAAGGTGGTATTCTGCAGAAAAAATCTTTTTCTCAGAAGGTGATGGTTTGGCTTGGCGTTTGTTCCAAAGGTGTATCTCCATTGATGATATTTGATGAAGGCACAGTCGGTCATGCTCGATATATTAAAGAAGTGCTTCCTGTGGCACTTAAATATGGGAATTACGTCTTTGGAAATGATTGGACATTCCAACACGATGGTGCCAAACCCCATATTCATCAGTTAACACAACAATGGTGTCATGACAATTTTTCGGGATTTATCGATGAAGACCATTGGCCACCAAATAGACCCGATCTTAATCCATTGGATTACTGTATTTGAGATGAATTTGTGAAGGTCACCGACTGGAATAAAGTGATATTTAAGCCGACCATGATCCAAGAACTAAAACGTGCGGTTAAAAAATTCGAAAAAATATTGTGTTTGAAAGTTATGCTTCTTGGACCAATCGATTGTATTGCATCTCACAAAATAATGGAAATTATTTAAAATAATAAAAACATCTACGTTTTGTAGAGAATTTGACAACGAATCTTTTTATAAAAATTTTTTTTTTCTAAATTGAATTATAAGTGAGAAATATGCAAAATATTGAGAGCGTCATTTATTATGGGCCACCCGTTCGTTTATTGTCCCTATTATAAGGTTGACAAAGTAGCTACTAATGATATAATCAACAGCAATGACGATTGCAATCAGCCAATCATTATATAGTTACTAAAAACGAGTTAATCCTCCTAAGAAAAGACTAGTATTAAAATTTCTGTTTCTAATTATCAGACGAAAGCATTTCATCTCTTCGTTCGAATCTTCTATCAAATGACATACAAAATGAATATTTCCGACAATATTATTCTCTCATTTTCAAATTTTATACAGTTATGACAGAGCATGTATACTTTAATTGCGATCAAGCAGAAATATTCTGGTTGAGTTACTATCATCTTAAGAGAGAAAATTAAACATCTGAGTCTTAGTTCTATTTTTCTGAATGTTGACACATTTCTTATTTATTTTCTGCTTCAAACATGCAATATTTAATTCATTTTGGATATTTCTAGAATGTCGTCAATTAGTGTCAACAATTAAGTATTCAAACACTTTCCGACTATTGTGCAAAGATCTGATAACTGAATATAACAATACCAACGAAATAAAAATTAAACGTTCATTTTAATTAGATGTTAAGTCGCGATGGAATTCTACGCATTACGTGTTGAAATCAATTTTAATATATCGTCCAATAATTGATGGTTTATTTGAAAATATAAGAAAAATTAATTTGACTAAGAGACAGTCCAGCAATTTTTTAATGCTAGAAATGTCAAATACATGTTTGGATGTTGTCGAAATATTAATCAAGGTGTTGAAACCATTTCGACATGCAGTACAGCTAATTAGTGGAACACAATATCCAACAATTAGGTTGACGTTATTTGTTCTACGGAAAATTGAACAAAATTTCCTAGATATTGTTCGGCCAGACGATAATGAAATTATTCAAAAGTTAAAACAGCTCATTCGTGAAAAATTAACATATTACACCACATCGAATCAATATAGTGAAGGCTTTACAAATTTGCTCGTAAGTCATTATCTTTAAAACTCATTCCTTAAAACAATAGGGACATTGGCAATCTATATTTTTCAATAAGGATAGGAAATTAGGATCTCTTGAATAATTGAAAAGCATATTAAAGATCGCCAAATGATCATTACTACATATATTTTCTTCTCATAGATGCATGCTTATTTTGTCCCTTACGGTGTTTCCGTATTAAGTCAAAAGGAAATTTGTTCAATTGAACGACGCGTGAAAAATTCAATGCGTTCATCACTCTACGAACAACAAGGAATTACTGTTGTATCAACAAAAAAATCAACAACTTTCAACAAATTTTTAGATTCAATTGATGATGATAGTACTTATTCACAACAGTCTGCGTGTAGATCATCAACATCCACATATGCAACTGAAACAAAACAATATCGACGACTAGCTAGCAGCTACATTTCGGGTGTTGGTGAAGATAAAAATGCTCTTTCCTTCTGGGAGCTTAACAAGCATCAACCACCATATTTAACAATACTAGCAAGAAGCTATCTTGCTACTCCAGCCACTAGCGTACCGTCGGAGAGCGCATTTAGTAAAAGCGCTTATTATAGACGTAAAGAACGAACAAACATACACGGTGATAACCTGTGTCAGTCAGTATTCTGAAAGGATAAATTGATTACAAAACTACAGTAGCATATGTTAGATGCTA